GACGGGGAGGAAAAAGTATAGGGGAAAACATAGTATCACACAATATAGAGGAGAGAATCGTAACTGTGAACAACTGTTTTGACTGTAGAGAGATGAACATTTTATAAGAGTTATAAGTACAGTAGTACAGTAATTTTTTAAAGTAGCGTAATAGAGAGGTTTATAAGTGTAATGACCGAGACCGAAACAGCCCAATAAGAATAGAGGCCACTGCAGACAAAAGGAAGGAATCTATTACCTCGAAACATGTGTTGTCCTCCGATGATGTCCGACAAATAACCTTATTTTACCTTTGCGAATAAAGTTTTAGTAAGAATGAGGAGTGAAAATTATGTATGAATGTATTAAAGAATAACCTCTTAGTGCGTAAAACACATCTTCTAATCGTATTGCTGTGAAGTAAACCCTAATCTCTGACCCCGTAGGATGTAAAAAACCAGACTGTGACCAGCTTGTGCCTAGAAGGCGAGAGCTCCAGAATGTAACGTAAAGAGACATAAGGAAGAAAAGAAAAAAAATTAATAAAGGGGGCCAAACGGCGGGACCCGTCGTATGTTGTACTCCTTATTCGTTGTGCGTGTAACAGCCTTGTGACTTTTTTCCTGATTTTTGATCAGCTGTAACGACAACAGTCGGGTGAGTTTCCAGTGTGGTGATAATGGGACCTTTTCGTCTGTCTAATGAGAATTCCATAACAGCCAGAAGATAATGTTGGTAACCCGGACTATGTCGATAACAATTGTTTTTTTAGGCTTAACCGGCAGGCCAAGGTCTGGCAAACACGCAGCGGGGACCATTCATGCGGCGAAAGAGGCTGCATAGAAAAAATTCCGGGCATACCCGGCAGACAAAAATCTAAAAATCCGGCGGCGAAGGAGGCTGCATTAAAATTTTTATGCCTAACCCGTAGAAAAATTTTTGGCCAAAATATGTCTGGAATTCTGGCAACAAGAATGTCGTATATAAGTAATCCACAGCTAGGAGCCACCTAAAAGGATCCGGGCTTAACCGGCGGACAAAATTCCGGCAAACTAGCACCGTTGATACTGAATAAATAAAATTCCCGGGCTTAACCGGCAGACTATAATTCTGGCAAGCTAGCGGCTAGGGCAAGGGTGTATAAGAATTCCGTATTAATCGTCGGACAAAAGGGGTTGGGGCAGCCTAACATGCCCTGCCTAGGCATGTCCTGGCTGGAACGTCTACAGGCCACGTGGGGAACAGCGCTGAGCACACGCCGACACTTGGGAGGAACCTAGCTTTTCAACTAAAACATAAGATACCACTTTACCTTGGAGAAAGTTGAGTAGTGTAGACCGACCCGAGCTTTTCAGCATGTGAGGTTGAAGGGCCCATGGAGTTAAACTCAACCTGGGTGGGGGCTGTGGTCGGGGTAGCAATCGTAGTTTCCATAGTTTCTTGAAGTCCTAAGAACACAAAAATCCTAAGTTTTTCTTCTTTCTTGCGAAGCGAAACGTGTTTGTAGCGGTGGAGAAAAAAAATTTTCCTTTGACTTGTGAAGCGGAGCGAGGCTGGAGCAAGAGAGAACGCATGTCCCCTCCTCTCTTCTTATATAGTCCCCCCGCGGCGCTCCGCACGCTGCGCTGCGGATCGCGCTGTGCAATTGTCTTCTCCTCCATCAGAAATTCCTCCGCATTCCTACGTAATGCAGCGGTTATTTCTGAAGGAAAATAACTAGTTTCACGTTAATAAACCGCTCTAGCGATTAATATAGACAGCCAGGATATATATTTGCTGGCCAAAATTGAATTTTTATCAAAAACTGCGTTTTTACTCAAATGCTGGACTCTGCCAATTTTTTGCACCCGAAGAAAAATCTATCACCCCAAATATCGCAAAACTCCCTTAATTCGCAAAAATGTTTTTTTCGTTCACATATATGAATACGCTGTTATTTAATACTGACGCTGTATACAGAACAATACTGACATCTCGGGCGGTTTCAACACTCACGAATTCGACTTTTCGTCAAAATCCGAGGTTTTCACCTCACTTGGACTCTGACAAAAATGACAACACGATTTCCTCGAAAAATAACTAAATTCGGCAAAAATGTAATTATCACTGTTTAATGCCTAAGAACAGAATTACGTCCCTTGCGCGCACTGGAGGGTAATACTGGCCCCAGAATATACACGAAACATAAAAATTCGAATTTTTGCCAAATAGTCCGATTCTAGCCCAAGCTGGACTTAGAAAATTTTCCACCTACGTTTCTACCAAAAAAAAATTCTATGTCTAAAAACGCAATTCTACCATCTTACTAGTAAACTAGAATAATATCACTCGCATCGACTAGGGAATCCTAATGATACCCGGAGCATATACGTGACCCACGAATACAAATTAATTACAGTTAACGACTTTCCGACGTTGACTTTGCCGAAAACTTATCTCAAAATACTTAGAAATATTCCACGAACTCTATTAAACATTTACAACGAAAATTACTATCCCTTAACATAATTCCTTCACTAACTATAGCGACCAACATATAGTCCTAAGTTCAGAGGATTAACTACACTCTAGCAACAACGCCTCTGACTTAGACTAATACAATAGGGAATAGCAAAGCTTAATGCACGCACTTAGCCTAATGTGCATGAAAATGCTAAACACTTGGGAAAAATTTTAACCGGGGGATTGAATTTAGGGGAAACAAAAATTTTTAATCTCTAGAACGCAAATAAAAGGAATTACTTTACATGAATTTCATTATACTTAATTCAAAGATACACTCGATGTAATCCTATAATCGCTCCTACCGGCTCGCCGTACCGCGCCTAGCCTAGGTGCCTCGACCATCTAGGTTCTAACAGAGTGACACGCAGCTTTCAGCAACAATTAAGACTAGAGACGACTCAACTTCCACTTAATGTGGAAGCTTCCACTTCCACTTAGTCGTTGAATCGCTGCTAGGTAGTTTACTAGTCCGTTCCTCGGAGGCCGTAACGCCCTTCACGGATTTACGTTTTCCCTAGCGTTTTGGGTCGTCTAACAACGCCCTCGGATAAATCTCCTGGCGTACCACAGATAAATCCGCCCAGACAGCCCACAAGGAACTGCTGTTGAGAGTATGGTGGCTCCCAACACCTCTGAATCAATTGCAATGGGTCGAGTAAAGTACCCAGTCCAATCAACTCGGAGCGGTCTCCTTAGCCAATAAATCTTAACAGCCTAACTTACTGACTAATCCTTAATCCTATCAGCCTGCACGACCCTAAGATTCGCCAATCCCCACTCAACCGCACTGTTGTGAGGTGCACTGCTAATCCCGGCCCGCGGCTGTCCTCCCTAGCATCTACGCACGTGTCCGAATGGCTAGACGCATGAGCCTTTCAACAATTTCAAACAAAATTGTTGAAACTACCGCTGTGCACCATTTGTAACACGGGGGGGGGGGGTTCTTGTGTTCTCTTCACCCCCTTTCTCTCTCTGCCCGTAATTTAACTTTGTTCTCTCTACCAAGGTACCCCCAAAACTTTCGCTTGAGCCGACCCCACGCCACTTGGTCTTAAGATGATTGACCGACTTAAGATTCTACAACCCGTATGACGTGACAGACTTCTAGCAAAACCCTACGATCGCCTTTACGCTGCCACCACCAGACCAACAACACTGAGCAATGATCGAGGCCTGGATCGATCATGCCAATCAATAACTTTGGGGCTTGATCCCCACTAGTAACATATAACCTTGGATCTGGAGTGTGGAATTAAAAAATCAACGGGAATGATAATTCTAATTCGGTGTTAGAATCGGCGCCCAATTCAACTCGGCCTTGTGGGGACCACGTGACAAGGACATGAGAATGGAAACAATGAAATCTGGTCAATGAAATTCAGCAGTCTCCGTGGTGTAGTGGTAAGACACTCGCCTGGCGTTCCGCGAGCGCTATGTCATGGGTTCGTATCCTGGCCGGGGAGGATTTACTGGGCGCAATTCCTTAACTGTAGCCTCTGTTTAACGCAACAGTAAAATGTGTACTTGGATGAAAAAACGATTCTTCGCGGCAGGGGATCGTATTCCAGGGACCATAGGATTAAGGACTTGCCCGAAACGCTATGCGTACTAGTGGCTGTACAAGAATGTAACAACTCTTGTATATATCTCAAAAAAAAAATGGAAAATAATAAAAATGCAAATTACTAGCTAAATGGTTTATTCAAAAAACTAAAACAAAATCTAAATAAATGGCACTCCCTGTCAATAAACACTCCCTGACTTTACATTTGAGGCAATGAGTTGACCTATTCCCTATCTAAAACCTCTGAGCAACTTTACCTTGGGCGACCAGCTAGCTGTTGGTGCTGTCTTGGGGCCGATGATGGAGGCCACCTGCCCGAATCGCTCCTCTTCCCACACTGTCCTCCTGCTCGGCTAGTCCTACCCAGACTAGAGCAGTGTATTGTTGCGCCTAGTATCTAAGTTACTTGCAAGGCTTAAGTTTAACAATTAACCTCTGCTGCACTGAATGATCCAGATTGGTTGAATTATTTTAACTGAAGTTAAATTACACAAGCATCTTGAGGAAGAGCTATTCCCGATCACAAAAGGGCTAATTGACCTTTGAGAAATAGTGGACATGGAAACCTCGGATGACCTGTGACCGCTGAGGTCACTCAAATCCTTCTCCACTGAGGTCTAGTCACGGCTAGTGACGTCACTGATGGTGACTTAAACTCATTCTTCTAATAATTAGAATACTCTTGATATTGTACCCAGTAATATTATACAATACAATTTTAATACAGAATGAATGAAGGCTAATTTCTCTAAATTACTGAATACTATAGAATGATTCATTATACGAAACTGTGAACAAAGGCGCCAGTTATTTTTACCGTCAATCTCCCCAGGGAATGCTCACGGGTCACCACGTGGGTCCAGCTTCCCATTCCTCCCATGTGTAGATAAACATTCTGGATAATTCTTACAACAAACCTAGTTTGTTACACTACTACATGAAGATGCTCAGCATGGGGGCTGCACCCTCCTACAGGATCTTCGAAACGTTCTCCAGTGGATCCACACAATGGGTCCTCGCAGAAAAATTCGGCGTGCGGGATGTCGTGAAGGTGCTGGACGACTTCCTCTTCGTGAGTTCTACCTACGACAAGTGCGTGCAGAGCCTGTGGGTGTTCATTGCCCTCTGTGAGCGCCTGGGCGTTCCCTTGGCCCCCCACAAAACCGAGGGCCCCTGCCTCACTTTCCTTGGACTCGAAATTTACGCCCGACGGATGGAGACAAGGCCACCGGAGGACAAGAGGATGAAGTACATGGCTGCTGTGGAAGACGCCCTAGGGGCCGAGTCTCCCGCTGAGGGACCTGCAGGGATCATCGGCAAACTACAATTCGCCACGACGGTCATACCGGGAGGCCGGGCCTTCCTCCGACACCTTCACCCACTCACACGAGGTGTACAACGTCCCTCGCGCCCCTGCCTGCTGGATGCGAAGGCGAAGTGCAACCTGGGCGCCTGGAGCACTTTCCTCAGCGCGTTTAATGGAGTGACAGTTTTTCCCCCCTGATGGTGGATGGGGGTGTGCCTCGTCTCTCTCAATGTGCGCAGATGCTTCCTCCAAGGGTTACGGACTCACGCTCGGAGCGGCCTGGTTCAGGGGAACCTGGCCCATGGACTGGAGCCGGCTCATCATTACACTCATCGAACTCTACCCTTTCTACATGGGGATATCCATCTCCGCACCAGTGTTAGCAAGCAAGAGGCTGGTGTGCAGGTCCGACAACGCCGCCGTGGTAAATGTGCTGCAATCTCTATCCGCCAGGTGCCCTCTCCTCATGCAACTTGTCAGGCCGCTGGCGATCCTCCTGCTTATGCATAATATTACGCTTCTTCCCTCACACCTCACGGGCAAGTTAAACGGGGTTTGTGATGCCCTTTCTCGGTTGCAGGTACTGCCGCCCTTTTTCCTGCGAGACACAAGACTCGCCGAGATGCCAACCGCCGTCCCGCAGCACCTCCTGCCCTGCAACTTCACTCTGAAACTGTGAGGACGCTGCTCGACTCCCTGTAGCCCGCGACATGGCGCGCGTATCAGAGTAAGCGGGCGGAATATGTGGTGTACGTATCAGGCGATGGGTGTGTCCCTTTGAGGCCTCGTCTTCAACCCTGGCGAACTTCCTGCAGTCGCTGCTGTCTCGGGGCTTGGCTTTCCGCTCTCTCAACCCATACCTCGCAGCAATCACCTTCGTGTTCAAGCTGCATGATCGGGAGGGCCCTACTCGCCAGTTTCTAGTTACCCAACTGCTTAAGCGGACACGGAATAAGGCTCAACGGCTACCCACCCAGCGACAGCCCATGACCAGATGACTACTGAATCGACTGCTGGGGGCCCTGCGAGGTGTCTGCGGCTTGACTTACGAGAAGACCTGCTACTGAGCACTCTTCTCCCTTGCTTTCCACGCCTGCCTCCGTCTAGGGAAGGTGACCTGTGCAGAGAAGGGTCAACACACGCTACGCTTGGACCAGATAACTTTATCACGGATAGGGATCGACATCGCGTTTGCCTCCTACAAGCACAGTGCAGGTCGCACCCCTACTTTAAACCTGAGTGCAGACCCCTACAGCAAGTACTGCCCGGTCCATGCCATGGCAAACTACATAGGACGGCGGGGCATGGAACCAGGACCTATATTCCAAGACGAGACGGGCGCCCCGGTCACCAGACAAGATTTCTCCAGGGTGCTGCGTGCCGCCATTGGAGCCCTGGGACTACCTCCAAATGATTACGCCCCTCACTCTTTCAGAATTGGCAGGGCCACACAGATGTCCAAGGATGGCCTCGCGTCGGCGGCGATCAGAGCAGTCGGCAGATGGAAAAGTGACGCGTTCCACTCCTACGTCAGGGAAGACGTCATTCCACTCCCTAGATAAGTTACTATAGCGGCCAGCAGGCACCTAGCCCATCGGGGGATGGGGGACCGGCTGCGCTGGCCTGCGGAGTGGGGGGTACTGCGCCGGATCCCCAAGTCTAGGGCTGCCCGCAGCTACTTACCATATGTCAAGTGCACACTTGTAGTGCAAGTTGGGGGTTGCAGACTTTACATGTAAGCTAGGCACTAGCATATCATTATCCCTGGAAATTCTTATCTATCTTTTCTATGGCTTCTGTGTATACAGAATATATATTTTATATACATACTGTACTGGCTGTGTCACTCAAATTATAACACTGGTGTTGTAAATCAGTTACGTCCTCTAATTACTCAACACAAAGCTGCTATTAGGACAATATCCAATTCTGGCCCCAGACATTGTCGGAAAATCCGACACCATTTAATATATCATACAGACAGATAATATTTGCTGCTGTATTACCAACAAGTTACCCATAGAAAACGTAACTTGTAGTGGAATTACCGTCTAAAGAAAACGGGATATCATCACCACACACTATTATAATTCACCACCTATTATGGTGGGAATTGTTCTTAAATACATTAGTCTTTGGACTTTACCATCATAAAAACATCTTATATAAATTAACTTAATTATCAATATTAAAGTAGAGTAAATGTGACCCTTCTATCACTTTCTGAAATCTGGACAAAGTAGGCCAGGCGTCAGGGAGGAAGGAGGGAGCCATTGTTGTGTCACCTCCGAGACGTGTGGAGCAAATTCGGCTCCTATCATTCTGGACAATGTCGGCCAGTAACGTCAATAGTATGGAGTGTTAAACAGCCATTGTGTATACGAGACCAGAGGCACACGGGAGCAAATACGGCTCCTGTTAATTTTACTTGGACGTAGTGTTATGGAAACCAAAGGTACCATTGTCAACACGCTGTCTACAAATTCAAGTTAAGTGTCTATCCGAAACCCGTTTATCATTCATTTATGGCCATTAATGTCAGGATATAGGGTGACCCGGTTAGATCACGTGGAAGCCTCAAAATAAAGGTAATTAAGCCAGGTCTTATTGTTCCATGTACTGTATAGTGTTTTCTCTGATATAGCTTGTCATATATAGGATTCTGGCTTCACAGCTAGCGCACTTTTGACAGGTCATGACGAGGATGCAAGATTTTGTGCACCAGTTACTGGGTGATGGAAGCTGCCTCAAAGAGGATAATTTGATGTCTACACCCTAGTTATACCTGGTGGACTAACCTGCTGTACTATAAGATAAGGAACCTTTTCAATGTATGTAGTTAATACTGTAGTTTGATTGGCTGCATATATATAAATATAAACCCCCCCTAATGTGTAGAGGATCGATTTGTGAGATTGAGATTATTGCAGAAATACAGTCCACTTATCATTATACAAATTGCTATCGAAGTATATAAATTAACGTAAATATAAATTCATATAAATTAAATAAATATAAATCTCACAGGTCGGTTCCCACATTATTTGGACCTTCGGAACCGGAATATTCGGTCCTTTGAACCCACATTTGGTCATCTTAGTACCGGATGAACCAGTTAACCAGTGGATTCATTAAATATACTAGTGCAGTGTTATTTAAACAAAGCCAGTCAAAGACAGCGGCGAAGCCTCGTGGGAGCTCAGGAGCCTCCCTCAGCCGAGTTCAGCTTCGTCAGCGGTTTCATGCACACCCACAGATATTTGGTGGCGTGTTATTTCGTGAAATGACAGCGCTAATATTGAAACCAGCCAAATTAGTGACTGTGTCTTCGCGATATTGTTCACGGATTTCGTGGTGTTACATTTCGCGAGAGATTATCCACGAATTTTGTGGACTTTATTTCGCGAGGTCACTAATAACATTTAATACTTCTAGATAATATTAGAAGTTTCATAGAGGCTAATTAAGAGGCTATTAACAAATAATTGATGTGTATATTATTTCTCCAAAATAGAGAATTATTTAATATAAATTGCACTAGTGATCACAGTATAATATTTACTAATTGCCAACCCACAACAGGGTAGTAAATTACCATTGACTAGTTGAACTATTATTGCTCATCCTAGTCCCATTATTACCATAGTCAGTTGTACTATATTAAACAACTTAACACCATTAATGAATGGTGCAGACCCTATTTTGGGTGTAATTATTATCAACTCGAATTGAGTTGTATATATAATAATTTACTTATGGTCATTACACCTTTGAGTGATTAATTAGTGTCTCTACCATCCTGGGGTGATATAGAAGAGCTAACCTAAAGGTACTTCCAGTGACACTGGTTTATCACTCAAATCATTAGTGTGTATGATTGTATATATATATATATAATGTGTATTAATTTTAAGTGCTAACCTCTAGTAGAGGTAGGATTATTGCCTAGTGAGTGCAGAATTTACCCTAGGCTACCATCAGTGCTTGTTCAGTATTATGAGCAGCCCAAGTACAAGTCCCACAAGGCTTCACCAACTAGCCAGTATGGATAATGCAGGGAGAATGAAAAGAACCCTTGCAGGTCTTAAAGGCCACTTAACAAGACAGATCAAGAAATGTGAAGATTTGTCACAACAATCTCAAGTTGATTATGCTGACCTGGAAAGCTATTATCAAGCAGCTGCAGGTAAATTTGAGCAAATCAAATGCCAAATGGCTGTCCTTGTGGGGACAGACTACTACCATCGATTCATCGGTAGCCCTACTAAATATCAGGGTATAACCATGTTAAACTCTGCAGGAGGTAAATTACTCTCAGGCCCAGTATCAAGCCTGAGGAGACCTATGACTGCAGATAAACAATACCAGTAGAAACCTAAATTTGTCAGCTGATTATATTTCTCCAGTAGCATTATACTAAGGAGATTACAGCTGACTATACCAACAGAGGTTGATGTTAGTATCATCATTTAAAGCTGAAGATGAGTTCATGAGGCCTCAGTGGCAAATCAGTGAACAGTAGCCTAAAACAGCTACAAGTCACTGCGACCAATGTCACTGAACCCACTGCAGTCTCAGAACCATACTTTACTTTAATGATGAGCTATTCAATCTTCTTAATCAATTAACTAAATTAAACCCCAATAAATCAGATGACTGATTTGATACATTTATTATTTAATCAAGATGTATTCCATGGGCCTCAGTGTTTATATATCAGTGACCAGTTACCTGAAGAAACTTCAAGTTATATCTAATGTCACTGATCTCACTGCAGTCCCTGAATCATACTTGACTGTAGTACATGATCACATCCAGTCTTCTGGGTTAAATAATATGTAATAAGGCTTGAATATTAGCCTTTCAAGAGTTGACAGGGAAATGAAATCGCATTAGACTTCTAACCCCTGCAACTCTAGTACGGGACATCCGTCCTGTACGAACAGACACAAATGTGTGATTACTAACTACTAACATCAAATTAATGTAATAATTCGAAGGAGGAGTATCGGTGTTCGTCTGTTCTAAACAGGACTTCGACCCGTGAGCAGCCCCCTGGGGAATTATGTCGGAAAATCCGACACCATTTAATATATCATACAGACAGATAATATTTGCTGCTGTATTACCAACAAGTTACCCATAGAAAACGTAACTTGTAGTGGAATTACCGTCTAAAGAAAACGGGATATCATCAC